GAGAAAAATAAAGCGGAATTCTGCCGTACTCCGTGGAGCCGCAGTGAGTTACGGCTCAAGTCCACCGTCGCCCGGAGAGCCGGAGTAAAGCGGATCTCCGTAGCTCATGAAGCCGTAGAGGAGTATGATGGCCGGTCATCGGGTAGAGCCGTACCATCGCGATCTCCCTGATGCACCGTCGTTCCGCAGAACCCGCTGCGTCGTACTGCGGCTGATTCCCGCAGATCGCGGCGCGGCTACGGGACTCAGGCATTCCTCGGCCCAAAGCTCCCCATCACGATTTTCGCTCACCTTCGACGAACGATACCCTCGTTCGTTACTTCTCCGGAGGAAGCTCGAGTTTCGATTGGAGTGAAAGCTCCGGAGAGCGGGACACGCAGAATGTGGGCTTCGAATCGGATAATTTGCTTAGAATCAACCCATCTGGATCTATCGAAGCGTGCCATACCCGTAGCATCAAAATGTATGTTTTCAGGTACTCTATTGCCGCTCTCTTCTTCCAGATAAAGCAAGGAGCAGCAGCACTGCGGAGTCGAGCAATCGATGATTAGACGAAGGCGGGGAACCCGAAGGCTCCCAGAGACTCATAACACAGCATTGGGACCGAAGAAATTCGGAAGAGCTTCCATCAGTCTCCAAGCTTGCCCCGGCATGGCTTAGTAGATGTCACGGCATTCTGCCGGAGTTTGCATCTGGATTGCGAAAGGTTGGAACGAGTTGCCGAAACTTGAAGCCGATTCTGGTCCATTCCGATGAGCTTCGGGAGAGATGAGCTCCCGGGAAGAAATTCACTTCTTCGTTCCAGTCGGAGCGGGTTCCGCCCAGGGCGACCCGCATCTCCTGGCGACAGAAAGATGACGGAAAATGCCGGCGCCTACAGCACTCGTCCGGAAGCATACCGGCTTTGCATCGAGTACGAGCAAGTGCGTCGGACGAAAGCGTCCAGCTTACCAGGAGTCCCTCAGAGAGAGCGTTTCTTGCGCGAGAAGAATCGAAAAATACAGCCGCGAGAGGCTTTGGGGTTCCGCAACATCGTTGTGACGAAGAATTCCCCAGCTTTACGAACACCATTGGGGACGGCAAAAAATCCCGATGTTTCCTGGATTTTCAGCAAATCATGGGCCCTCTCGCTCTGGAGATGACGGAAATTGCTGAGAAATGATCCCCACCGGAAGTCGAAAACATTTCCGGGAAATCTCTGAGCGTGAGAATTGATTGAGTATCTCCAATAGAATGCCGTGATTCTCTTATCTTGATGGTTTCGCAACGAATCCAACATTTTGACAGGAAGAGGGTTGAGTTTTTCCTTCCTACGACGGGAGATCGTGCTTCAAGACCCGTAGAATGCCGTGGGTTCCCTCGGTTCCTTCCCCCTTATATTCGATTTCCTCGTCTCATGCTTAGAGTTTCCCAGTTCTCTCACTGCCTTTTTCAGGCAGGTGCAAACCTCCCCTTGTCAGTTCATACCATACCCTCCGATTCCAGAACCTTTTACGAGTCCTGGAACTAGATTCGAGCTGTGGAAAAGGGACTTCACGGCGGATGCAAACATGGCCGTTCCTATCAATACAGGGTCTCCTCCCCATACGCAGAGATACGCTCAGGAGGCTCTGGCGAGCGAACCCCGGGGTTGATATCGACTTCTGTCTCCGCTTGGATCTCTCGACGAGGATCGATGTGTCCAGTTTGAGTCGATTCGAGAGTCATCCAAGAGCTCACGGACTGCAAGGGGAAGATGGATTCATGGAACAGGAATGGATGGATGCTCGAGCTCCGGGAATGGATTCGCATTTCGTGCGGGATCTCAACACGAAAATCTCGTAATCAGTCTCCGTGAAGACACTGGTCTCGAAATGGGTCTCGTCAACGCATTCGTGACTTCGAATTTTCCGACCCACGCGTTGACATTGAGCTCGTACCTTCAGTCCTCAGGTTTCCCACGGGATACCGCTCCACTGCAGCATGAGAATCCGCATCAGTGCGGGCGCTCCCGAATGTGACCCTTCTTACAACACTCTCAGAACTCCCCTCCCAGGACCCAAAAATCGAGGGACAAGCAGGAACTTGTGTACGCGCTTCATAACTGGAACAGCATGACACTTCCGTCTACGACAATCGGAACCAAGATTCGATCTGGATCGCGAATTTCATCGCTTCGCCTCCTGATCCTCCAAGGCGGTCGGCGGTCTCTGCATCAGCTCGTGAGTCAAACCGATACGAGATTGTTCGACTCCCTTCTGCAAAAGCACCTCTGAGCTCTGTAGGGTCAGAAATCTCCGAGTCACGAACGACGCGGAGCCTGAAGTCTTTGAGAGCCGTCTCAGGGGGAAAGATCCAGGGAGAAGGGAGGAGAGACCGGACCACGTAACTCCATGCGGTGCGTTGCGGAGAGTCAACTCTATTGTGAGGTCCTCACTATCGGAGCTCTCTTCCTGTCAACCTGACCGACTATCATAAACTTCATCCATAGAAACAATACAACGCGCGGAACGTGAGGGAATTATTTGCGGGACGGATGGATGAAGGCATCAGGAAATGATGTTTAAGGAGAGCTACAGCTGAAGAATTCCAGTCGGCCCTCTTCCAGTCCATCGGGGTGTGTCGGTAACGTATATTCTGCTTCAAAGAGGATGGAGATTCGATCATACTCGATCCATCCATCTATCATGAATTCAGAGAGGAGTCGGTGAACCCCTCAGAAAAATGCTGATAGTTTTTGGCCCGGATCCGACGTGCCCGCTTTGGGAAAGCTCATCCTGCTGCGAGAAATGATCGACGAATAAATCGTCGAAGTCCGCGGTTGCATTAAACGGACACATTCACACTCTGGATGAGCGACACTCTCGGGCATCTCGGGACGCGCACATACCATGCAGAACCGGCGGCCTTGATTATCACTTCCGAGGAACTCGTGCATAATGAGTTGGTGCATATTTGTGATGCGCTAGTTTTGGCCTGGACCGCGCACCATCCTCGTGCATTCCCGCCTCCTCCCCATGAGTCATCACAACCGTCGCCACTGCGATAACAATCGTATCCAATAATATATCCTTGCTTTGGCGACCCTGATTCCCATCGCAGCGAGAATGATGGTACCCTATCAGTATTTCTTCCGGACATGGTGCCAGGCAGCAAACTCCACCGATGGGATAGAGGTTGTGACCGGCGACCTTCACCGGCAACAGAAATTAACCCCTAACCGCAGGAGCCCTAGTTGCAGTGCCGAGGGCGCGGCGCTACCACATCGATGAGCGACGTTTCTCGAGTTGAGCTCGACGGAGGGCAGTCGGAGGAACTCCCGATAGCCGGGTGTCTACTCATGAACTCCGCCAGAAGTGATGGGTACTTGAGACCGGGGATGAGGCTCGAGAGGTGCAGAGCCATAATTTCGCTACGTTTCCGAGCTGTCGACATACACGAGCACCGAGCTCTAAACACAGGACCTAAGCCGGCATGTTGTCTATAGCGCCGTCCTGAATCTTGATCCGCGAGTCTATCTTGATCCGCGGCACAAGTCAAATGCAGCGTCGCGGAAGTCGCGATTATGCGTGCGATTTGTTCAAGCGGCGAATTTGGTAGAGAGTTCAAGGGGAGCCTTCACCAGTGGAATCATATGTAGCTGCTCATCGAAGGTCTTTGAAAGTTCGATGGTGCCTTCCGGTCGCGTATCGCGGAGTAAACTGGGAAAAGCATCGGATTGTACCTAACACTCGAAAAATCAGGGAAGTCGATACCTCCATCATCAATGGATTCGATACGGAGAACCATTACTGAGAATGAGAGGGAGACCAGAAAATCTCATCAGGGGACCTGATGAGACTATTCGAAAGAAAATAAAATCTCTCCTAGGTAGAAATATTCGCAAACAGGGGTTGAAATCATCGAAGTTGACCGGACCATGCTTTTCGAGCTGTGGAAAAGAATCAGACCGCAGCCTCCATAACGCGCCCTCGCGAAGACGATCTCATAGGTCATTGTTAATTGATGTGAAGCGTGTCCCCCCCCCCCGAGAGCCCATGCTCCGGATCAGTTTCTGGTCAGGGGTGCTTCGAGATTAAGCTCTTAATTCCGGCTCGGGAATAAGACGTCCATATCGAGAATGTTTAATGATAGAACGAAACTCTGAGTGTTGATGGATGTCCGAGATCCAAGTCGAGCTAACTTAAAAAACTGACTCATTAGGGTCGTAGAGAACTCGTCGAGATCGACCCCTCGCCTTTGGTCGCCCTCTGGTTTCCTCCGACGGAGGTAGTTGTTGAGAACGAACGCTAATGTATATCCGCCCCTCCATTATGAGCGTCCCAGGAGTCGGTCCGTGTGGCGAAAAGCCAAAGATCGAATCGGTGGGTTCATCGTAAGCCAATCATCGCTCGCGAAGGGCGACTAGCCCAGTTTGTATCATGCAGAGCCCAGCTACATACGACGAAACCTTCTCAAACGAAGGTTTCTCTTAGCTCTTTTCTTCTCTCCACGACTCTCGACCGAGAATTCATTGTCGATAGCCCCGGCGATTTTCGCGCCCATGGATTTTCGCTCCTTCGGACACTAGCGGCAGCAGGCTGCCGGGACGCGGCATAATGAGGCGCTAGGGGGCCATTTTCAAGCCGACTGGTGGCGCATATCGGCGTCGGTATCGGCGGCAGCGGAGTACCTCCTCACCGGAAGCAGACCTAGCTGCTCAGTCGTCAGTATCAGAGACGAACAGTGTGTCGCTAGTCGCCAGCCAGCCAGTCCCGCCAAGAGCAGCAACATCAACAACAGAGGCAGCAGCAGCCGCCATCACCACAGTCGTCGGAGCAGCATCAGCTGTCGTCGCTGTTCCCCCGAAAACGAACCAAACTGGCAGCAGCTGCACCGCTTGACGGAGGGACGGACAGACGGACAAGCATCGGGATCATCATCCGTAAGGCCCGAAGCGGCATCAAGAGCCAGCTTCTGGCGCGCGTTCCTCCGCTAGATCAGGGGTGCCACGATAGTTCCACGAATGGCACCACACAAACAGAAAAAGATGGCCGACAGCGATGCTGGCGAAATTTTCGCAGCAGAGAATATTCAGAAAAAGAGAGTTAGAAAGGTGTGTGATAAAGGATTTGTGCCCCGAGAGATGGGGAATTGGAAGAGCTTTCCAACGAGATGTAAAAAGTGCCGGGAGTTTCGCAATTATCACAATTGCGTTGCTTCAGGTATTCTTGTGTGTGAGAGTGAGTGAGATGTGCTCCTGTTTCATGTAATTTGGATTTTTCAGGGCAAAGTCGAATACTACATCAAATGGAAAGGATGGTCGCAAAAGTAAGTCGCTTGGTAATCGATAGCTTATCGCTCCGTACTGCAGGGGCAGCCCCTTGCGAGTATCGGAGATGGTTTCGCCGCCTGGATCGGAGTAGTTCCCATAGACAATAACATAGCGACCATTCGGTCGATCGGAATTCCCGATGGGGAAAAGAAGTTCTTGCCGGAGTCCGAAGCGTCTCTCCGACACGAGAAGAGACGAGAATCGTTTCATCGTGACCTCGGAGAAGCAGACTGCGGGAACATGTCCTGACTTGAGAATGCATTGCTCCCGTCGCCACCGAAGAGAACAGGAGTGCATCGATGACCTGATCCCCTTTCTCCGCGATTCAGCGGAATCTCTTCCCTTCAGATTAGGTAGATGTCTTCAGATCGCACATCGTACATAGAGTGACTTTTTTGGCTTCCCGCGGAGGGTATCTCGAGTCGAGAGAGAAGTTCGTATGCTGGACGAGCCGTTCAAAAGCAAACACGGAGCTCAGAAGGTACCCGGGCGAACAATCTATTTTGATCGCAGTTTATGGTGTCGAGAACGAAATTTCAAAGCGATCGCCGGAAAATCCTCTCGTTCCGAGTTTTCGCGAAGAGCTTTCCTGAGAGTTTGACTTCTGCTTTCTTCGGTGTGGCCTCTTGCAATGGTTCCGGTGAGTGACTCGATCGACTAGGAACGAAGTTGCAATGGGCGGCTTCGTTCCGTGTGGGACCTGCCGTTCCGTCTGCGACCGCGTGCTCAACTCCCCTGATGGGATCGAGATTTCTTCCGCGGATTTCGCGATTGCCGTGTGCCAATCGTCCATGAGGCCGGCCTTTCATCCATCGAGTTTCCCGTGTTACGGAGACCGAGCATCTCTGAGCGGCTCCTCCGGAGTTCTGTCGCATCCGAAATCTCGGTCGGACGGCAATTCTGCGCTCCTGAGTCGTCCGATCGGAGGAGGGACGATGGGCTTCCGTTGGATGGATTCGTGCCCCCGACCGTGCTATTTGTCGAGCGCGAATCTTTTCCATCCCCGTAGACGGAGTGCTTACTCACCTGGAAAGCTCGACCGTTCCCTATGGAACTCGGTTTTAATATCGCTGGGCGTAATTCTGTGAAGAATTCCGTGACGCTCCGTTGCTTTTGTGATTTGAGATTGTTGCAGATGCGACTCGTGTTCTTTTGTGATCGTGCGGACACTCATCTGTCTCGGACAAGCTATCATTAACTGTAGAAATTGGTGTTTGCATTTCGAATGAGTCCATGCACTCCGTCGCCTACCTGCGCGTCTGCCGTTTGCCCGCCTGTTCGCGAACAATAGAATTCTGTCCAGCGTTTCGGCGGTAATAGAATTTCAAACAGAAAAGATAAACTACACGACTGAGGCAGCCCTCCTGATTGACTGGGGGAACTTCCCGACGTGTCATGGCGATTCCCGCGCTCAGGCTATGCACCCGAAGAAGAGGTGAATCGTGGTGAAATGTTGAGGCCGTCATAAAGATATGACCCAGCCTTGTCGTTTTTCGTCGGGCCGCGATCATAAAAGCGAACTTATTTTCGACACGGAGAAAGAGACGCTAGTTTGCATTTTCGAGCTCCGACAATCGTACCTCGGAGAATTTCCCACCGAGCCCGGATGGAGAACATCAACAGACTCAACGAGATAAATTAACACTCGGACTTGAGAATTAGCTTGAAAGAGCAAAACATTGTCACTGTCATTGTGTCGCTCTGTTTGACCTTCCTTGTCAGTACTTTCACCGCTTGTTTACGTCGCGTGTAAATAATTCGTTATCTTATCGTGCCGATTCAATGTTCGCGCGAGCGACTTGATGACGTCAGAGAGCACGATTGGTGAAGGTGGAACACTACGCGTTTTTCCAGCGGATAGACCGCGATGGTGGAGTGGGATGTAGACGTATACATATGCCAGTCGAGGAGCTCCGGAACACTCGACCCGACGCTAATCGATGATGATCATTCTAATATTGAAAGTTTAATAACGTTGCCCATTTATCTTGCGCAGACACAACACGTGGGAGCCAGAGGAAAACATTCTGGATGTTAGACTGCTCGAGGCCTTCGAGACGAGGTGAGTTCTTCGCAGCAGCTCCGCTCAAATTACTCAGAGGAAGAGCACCAATATTATCGATTTACGCACACTACGGCCATCCACGGCTCTTTCGAAGGATGGGTTTGGGGGACTCGATGGGGCTGTTGAATTTAAACGTTGGTCTAGTTTCTGGAAAAATTGCAATTCAAAAAGAACTCCGTTCTAGATATTGTTTTCCGCTCGGGATATCCTATGGCGCGGTCAATATGACGCGGCGAGATTAGTTTTGATGGTCTTCACTTGTAAATCCATTGTTTGTCGCTGTCGACTCCTTCTGTTGGTGGATCGGTCGTTCGGCCGAAGCAACTCGAACGTTTTGTGGTCAGAAAACTTTGTTGCGCGTTGTGCTTCACCAGAGGATAGCAATCACCGTAGTCGTTATTGACGACTGGGATCAGTTTCAGTGTCCGCGCTCCGCGGGCCGTGGGAGCTGAAATCCACACAAAGAGCTCGTTTCAAATTTTCCAAAGATAAATTGTCTCCCAGAGAATAACTTTTCCGCTCTTACTTAGAGCTACGCTCGACGGTGTCGAAGGATATACGTTCGAACGAATGAGTGTGGCGGCATCCCTCAGCCTGCGATAGATTAGCCATTCTTCTCTCATATTGACTGCCGACTGAAGTCGAATCTATTCATTCCACAGCCATGCAAAGGAGCATTCGAGGAGGAACAATTCGAAATCTCATAGGCGACGGCGAGAGGTGAGTTCTGTTTTCAATCCTAACGTTCATCTGAAGCAGAGAGAAGAGCATCGTCTTGAATGTCCGAGTCTCGATTCCGTAAGCACGAATGCTCGAATCTCTTTCCCTGCGGCGATTCCCCAATGTGGCTGCTGATCATACCCTGTCGAGCGCAAAAATTAGAGGAAGAACTAGAGCGACCCGGTCAGCTGTTTAATGAAACGTCGAATAGAAAAGTTCATCTCCTGACATCTCTTGACGCTTTCTGTGTCGATCGCCAAAGGCCAGTCGAGGAGTCGCTGCGAAGACTCCCCCTGGTCGTTTCTCCCTCTCCGGTCGAGTATCGGATTTTCTGTTTGTTTCTGCCAATGGGAATACACGATCGGAGAGTCGCAGGGAACGAAGATTGCCTTGTCACTCACATGACGTTCGAGCTTCAAAAGTCGGTTGCGCTGCCACTTCATCAAGATAGAGAGGGAGTGTGCTCCATGGTTGCGGCCGCTGCATTTACGTCGTCGGAGAGAAAGAGACTGGGTGACGAGATGAAGACGGCGGATAAGAAAACGACACGACGACCGACTAGGGACGAAGGGTTCAACTGGAGCGGAATATAATGACCGCTGTGGTTACGGAGCGGCTAGTTGCTCGCTTGTCGTCCTGGTCGCCGTGAGTGATTCTGTTCACACGCTAAGAACATTCCCTGCGAAAGCAGTTGATTTCTCGGTGTTCCGGTTCTTTTCTTGCGCCTCCCCTTTGGGCACTTCTGGCTCAAGAACTATCGGACACCATCGAGTTCAGTGACCCTAGTTCACAATTTCTCAAATCTTGATGGCGTTGCTCATCATGATCGATCAGGTCGCGCGCTGGACCAAGTGTTCTCCATTCTCTCCACTAATGACGTTCTTTTCGGTTGAACTCCTTGAATGATTCTTGACACCTGTGCTCTTCTGCTCGCTATGTCATAATCGTCTGATTCTTTTGGTACCCGCCTCCGATCGGTGTCCCGCTTGGACAAGAAACTAAATATTCGTGTGTTTTTGGCGTTAACCCAACTGCCGTCGAGATCCATGATCGACGGGAAATTTTCTGTTCTTCCGGTCGATCGTCCCCGTCCTCTGCAGCCGCCTCATAATCGATGCCTCGACGACCGCAAGCGTGCTCGCTCAGCGAATTGGGAAGCGCGTCCGGTCCAGCACCGACAGGGACGTTATAACCTCCCTTCTCCCCGCTCCAAACGTCCCGGCGTTTCCGTAATTGGAGGACCTACTAATTGGGTGGCTCTTGCAGCTGAAGGAAAGTGTCACTCCAAAGGACGAACCTGCGACCAAAGACGACTCGGAAGATGAATCATCGAGGAAGGAGTCGAGAAGCAGCGCGAGAGACACTTCTGGAGCTGGCACCAAATCCAAAGAGTCCAATCACCATCACCACAGCAAAGACAGCAAAACAGAGGGCAAAGACAAGGATAGAAGGAGTCCACTTCCGAACCGACCTCTCAGCGCGTCCGGATTTGTTGAAAGCCCTGCAGAGGCAGTTAAAGTTAATCAACGATGTGTCACTCCTCTGGCCAAGGAACACCTCAAAGATATTTGTAAGCATCTTCATTGGAAGCTCATACCTCACGCAGAACTTCGAGCCCATTCCGACCGAAGACGGACTGCCTCGGCGTAGCTCCTTGCTATAATATTCAAAATAATATAAAAAATAATGATTGCTCTTCCTCTTCGCAGTAAAACCTCACAAGGAGCCTTCGACAAAGAAGCATGACGATCATTCTCCTCTTGTGAAAAAATCCACTCCTTCAATCTCCGATCCGAAGAAGTCGGCTGGCAAGGACGACAAAGATAAAGTTCCAACGACGAAGGATCACCATGCACATCGAGAGAACAAGGAGTCCACCGGCAAGCCCACTGCGAGCCCCACCGCACATCATCAAACTTTTGACAGCAGCGTTCCCTCGCTCGACAACGGTACCCAGCCGTCTTCACAGAATCATCGGGAAAAGCTGAAACGAGATCGGGAACGCGATGATGACGACGGCGGCGGCGGCGGTGGGAAACCGAAGAACGACTTGGGCTCCCCGGAAATCAAGAAGTCTCGGTTGGATACGTCGTCGCCGACATCGAAGTCCGAACAGAGGTCCAACGAGAAGTCATCGGACACCTTCGACCGTTTGAAGGCGTCTGACGAAACTCGCGACAAGGACAATCTGTCCGAGCGCAGTAGCGCGAAGGAGTCCTCGGTCGATTCCGTCAGTCAAGAGGGATCCTGGGACAACGAAAAGGCCCGCAAGGAGTGGTTGAACGAAGACAGCTCTGCCGACAGTAGTGTGGTCGCAGCGGCCGAACCGGAACCGAAACGTGCGGCATTGGCTGCGAAGAGCGCATCTGCGCAGAACGATGTCGGCCGACAGAACAAGACGGTATGGATCGCTTGATTTTTCGCGCTTTTCCTCGGAAAGATGTGAGTCATTATTTTCTTGATGATGCGACGGGCGACTAAACGCGTTCGTTTGCAGGTGGTAACGCAGAGCTCCATGACTCACGCCTCCTCAGCGCCTCGTTCGTTAGTGTCTGCGGATGCCAACCGGACTGCGAATACTTCTCAGGTTGTCGCAAAACAAGCGGACGCAAAGGTCGGTCTCAATGCGGTCAGGCACGCCATGCCCGCGGTCGTGCCAATACCCGCGATGCCATTCCGGAATATGGTCCAAGCTTCGGTCGCCGCGGCGGCTGCGACGGGAGCCGCAGCAACAGCAGCGTCCCTAGTGACTCCAACGACATCTGCAACAACGACCGTCGCCGCGGTGACAGCAACAACGACGACGTCGACAACAATGACGGCGACGACGACGACAACAACATCGACAACGACATCAGTGCCTAAGAAAGCCTTGCCGAACGATAACAACAACGTGTCTTCTGGAGGTAAATTAATTAGCAGTGGACAGAAACCATCGATCCAAGGATCGCAAACGAAGGACGTCGTTGCTCCAAAAGGTATGTGATCGTTGTTTGCTCCTCCGACACGTAGAAATTTTAGTACCATCCTTCAGAACCGACAGTCATGAAGTCGCTTGGCATTCATTGAGGATGACTAGTCGACGCGATTGGTGTCTAGAAGCCTGGCTCAGTAGATTAGGCTGCTTCTCCCGACTCCTTAGTTGCTCGATCGGCCGCCTCTTTGGTTTCCACGTACCCACTTCATTTTTTAAATTCCCTTCCTTGCCCCCTTCCCCCGTGGTTGACAAGCCTTCATAATGGAACGCTCCGCGAGGTATTCACACCTCTCGGAGATTGGCTTCATTATTTTTCCTCACTCCAGTCTCTAAGTCACGACTCGAATTCTTCTCCCCACTGTGGAATATGTGAATGAATCGTCTGCATTAAAAAAAAACGCGGTGTTCTCTGAGAGGGCCCTTCTCGGGATGATGGCCCTTGAATGACTTTTTGACGACGGATCTGGGGACGGGGAAGGAAGGGAAAATCGGTGACGGATGGGAATCGTGCAGTCTTTTAATTTTGTTCGAACGTCACTAACTGGGGATGAAACGATCCAGCGACCGGACCACAACCGCCGCCACCGCAGCAACAAGCGCAGCAGAAGCAGCAACAACAACATTTGCAACAACTCAAACTGAATCTTCAACAACAACTGCAGCAACAACAACAACAGCAGCAGCAACAGCTGCAACAACAACAACAACAACAGCAGCGACAGCTGCAACAACATCAACAACAGCAGCAGCAACAGCTGCAACAACAACAGCTACTGCAATCACAGCAGCAGCAGCAACAGCAGCAGCAGCAGTCGCTACAGCTCACGCAACAAAACTCAGTTGCGGTCCGTGCGGCCTCCACGGAAGGAAAAGCAGAAGAGACGACTAAACCTCCTCCGGCGAATTGCGTTCAAAACTCCACGCAGTCCGTGGCCTCGAATCAGGCTTCTTCGAAAGCCAATCAGTTCATGATGAAATCTGTGGTGGCTAGAAACGTGCCAACATTATCCAAAGGATCTCAAATGCTCCCTGGTGCCCCTATCGTCACCTCGGTCACGGCGTTGGGTCCGAGCGTGTGTCCACCGACGACCGCGTCATCCTTAATGCCCACAATCCGTCCCAAACCCATGCCACAGGCGACGTCGATGTCGACGTCGGCAACGGCTCAAACGGGTCAGGCGGTGCCTCCACCGCAACAATCCCAGGCGCAGCAGCCGCAGCATCAGCACCACCAACAACCTCCGACCCATGCGAACTCGCTGAACAATCTCCAAGCGGGTCCGATACTTCCGGTCGGTATGCACTTACCTCCCGGGGTTCAAGTCACTCCGGCTCCGAACGCCTCACAAGGTGGGCAGCCCCAGACAAACATTCTCTCACAAAGTAGCCTCGTTTCACTAACCCCGCGAAGTCCACTTACGCAACTGGGTACTTTGGGCTCTCAAGAATCGATGGCGAAGGCGGGTTCAGCAAAGTATCCCGGACAGCAGATCGTTCATAACCCTAAACAAAAGTTTGAGTCCCGGGGTGCAAGGAATTTGCTGAGACCGATGGGTGAGTGGTGGATAAAAAGCGATAAATGGAACTTCTTTGACTACCGAGTGTCTGTGCGAATGGGGAGGCTCAGCCCCTTTTCTTGCCCTCCACGAAACTTCATTTGCATGTTGCATGGCTTCTCAAAAAACGGCAGCGTCTCCTTTTCCGCTCGCTTGCTTGCTCGAATGCTCGTGTCGGTCTCACTCGGAGAATGTCGGGTCCTCGGGCTCCCCAAAGCGACAACCTGCCTACCCGAAACAACTACCGAGAATCGTACTGTGTCATAACGATGTCGTCATCGCCCATTGTGGTTGTCGCTCGCTTGCTCGCTCGCTGAGAGAGAAAGCAAGCGAGGAAGCTAGTCCTAACCCTACGACTCCCGATCACCGTTCCAATCGAACATTTCCACGCAGTTCCAGGTGTAGTGAACCAGAGCGGGTTCATTCCTAAAGTGAATCGCGTGAACTCTCATCCTGCAGATAAGAAAATCATTCCTAGGATATTGGATCGGAACTCTCATAATGCAGTGTCACCGGTCGCCGCCAGATCGACGACAACGTCAGCTCCGATTTCCATAGCTATGCAAACTGGTGTTCAGCAAGCCCAGACGCCTGACCACCTACAGGTAAGCCATTGCTGGAAGGAAACCGCCGACCGGCTGTCGAGCCTTCGGCGTCGGGTATATCCTGCGCCGAAAATATCCTTCAAACGCCTTGGGCATTTATATCATTCGTATACACGCGAGCCATAGGAGTGTGGCCGAAGAACTTGTACTAATCGGACCTTCTTTTCGCAGTCGAATCTCGGCGCTCCACCCGTGCAAGCACCCCAGCAACGCGTTAGGAGAAAGCATAAGGAAGTCGCAACGGTCAGACAAATTCTCGCTTTCACGCAGCAGCAGCTACAGCAGCAACAGTTACAGCAACAACAACAAAAAGCAGCCAAGCAGTCAGCCAATAACGGGCCTGCCGCTTGTCAAGCCAATGCCAACATGAATTCCACCTCAACAACGATTCCCACGACGGTTCCTCCCACGTCGAGCAACGTCACCTCTTCCTTGTCAAGGCCCACAAGTTTCAACTCGAACCCAGTGAGTCTCCCGCTGAGCTCGGATCCAAGCGCCCCGGTCCCGACACCTGTCGCCACGAATGGGTCTCTGAATTCAACGACACCCGCTGTACCTCAGACACCTCCGCAGCCCTTGATCCGATCGGCAATCGCCGACTGGCAGCCAACGCCTCCGAACCTCGTTAACAAAATCCTAATCACCGACGTGAAGGTGAACGCGGTCACGGTGACGGTCCGGGAGTGCAAAACGTCTCACGGCTTTTTCAAGAGTCGGACGTGAACTCGACCAGATCGGGTCGACATCGGGACAGGATCTGTTTTGTACAGTATTTATGTAAAGGACAGGGTATTATTGTGCAGGATTATTCAGATGCGGGGCTCCCTCACTGTGTCAGCCGAATCACTTCGGGCCCAGAAGTCATACAGATCGATGGGCGCGGCGAGACGAATCCGCTTCCCAAGTCTTATCTCTGACGAATTTCTCCTGCATTGGAATGCCCGAGAGTGAGCAACTCGATCGGAATTACTTCGCCAGTGTGGAAACTTCCGACGACGGGATGAACCCGCGTCGGCCTCGCTCGGTTGCATCCGTGTCGGGAGCTCACTCCCTCGAATTCCGAATTAGACGATTCCATGCCGAATCGTCTATTATCTTGAATCGAGACCGACTCGGGTTCTCCATCTGAAAATTTCCTCCCTCTGAGCTGGGGAAGCGGAAACGTTCGTGACGGGCATCGATTCTGGATGGAAGACGATTGATCGATTGATTCGTGCAGGAGGGGTTAGTGATGATACCCAAATGGCAAGCGATCGTGTGCAAGTGCGCAAGAGCCACTTGGTGGCACTCACAATCAGCACAATAGCGTATTTGGTCGATCATGGGCATGTTCATGTGAAAATTGATGGACGGCTGAAGATATGTACCTCAAGAAAACCCACAGAAGCATCGAGATGCGCATCGTGCGCATGTCCTAGCTAATACTAAGCACTCGGCAATGTCGACTGGCGAATTTTCTCATGACGGATCCACCAAGGAAGAGGTTCCCATCCAGCAAAGGAGACGGGGAGGAAAGCGTGGGCTGGAGCCTGGAGCTGAGCGGGGGTTCGCTCTCAACTCTATCGATGACTTCGACAGGATCTAGACTGAACTCCTACGGCTACCCGCTCGGTAGAGAAACTCCCCGTTGTGAGAGCCTACGAGAACGTTGTTGAACATTCGTCGATAACTGTCGTATTCTAATGTGATGAAACACATTGTTGCAGCGGCTCGCGCCTTGTCGCGCTGCATCGAAATTTCTATTCCAATCTATTTATTGGTAGTCTCGGCATTTGTACATACCACTTGATACTTGAAGATTACTAGCGTGATTACGATTATCATATGGAGGAGAATCTCCCCGGGGATAGGACGAGGCAGAACATGACGACGACGGTGATTATACCAGAATGCAGATGGGCCTGTTGTTTTTGAGCAGTGTTCGCCGGAGACGGTTTCCCTTGCGAGAGCAGGAGTTAGGCCGCGTAGTTTCGCAAGCAGAAAGACGGGCAGCGAGACGGCCCCGACAGTTGTTCCTTGTTAGAAAAAAATATTTTAGTCAAACGACTTAGCTGCAGAGTCGATGCGAACGGACGACGAACTACAAACATCGGTATCACAGACGTGTCGAAAAAACCCAATCGATAACCAATCATTTGTCGTTCTACCAAAACAGTCGCCCAAGACCATTCGAACTAGAGGCGAATGATTATCCTGAAGAGCTTTCGGAACCGGCGTAATCCATTCGATTGTATGTACATAAATCCACGAGCAGACGAGGTTGGCGAACAACAATATCCATTATTTGTCAGTCGAGTTTGCGTGTTCTATCGATCAAAGAAGAAATGGTCGAGCCGGGGGCTTGCAGACGCGTCAATTACGGGTTGCATTTCGAGGAACTCTTGTGTCGATTCGCTTCTGTTACTCTGAACGATTGTGAGAGAATTCGGACCTTTACTACCCTTGGCCTTTTTCGTTCCCCTGACTTCGAATACAACCCGTGATGTATAAACGAAAGGAAAAGCAGGAATAAAGCCATAATATACTGTATTCGATTGTGTCATCGTTCATCGCGCCTCTCGGAGAATCTCAGGCTTCCGCTCAGGTCACCCGGAGCGAGTCGGAATTGAGACATCATTATCTCCTAGCGGATTTTTCTCTCTCGAAGGTAATGCTCCCGGATAGCGATCGAAGCGCGATCGGTACTCGAGCGCCCGGATCTCAGCTCCGAAGATGCATGATTATAGGAGGCTTAACATTAACCACGATTTTTCCGTGAACTTCCGCAATGTGTCCTTGCGATGCTCCACGGAGCTTTGAGGGGGCCGGAGATTCGGCCGGGAAACGCCGCGAAAGATTCACAGCACTCGGTAGGGTTCTTCGCAGAGAAAGCCGGCTTCTGCCCAAGTCGGTAAGTGATGCTCGCTGACGTAAAATTCAGATTTAGATCATCATAATCAAAAATAACAATACAACATCATCCTTACTAGAAGCCCAGGTCGGTCACGAGGCGCTCTTCCACCTTTGAGCCCGAGCCCCTATGTTCTTCAATAATTATCGGACTTCGACAAGGCTGAAAATGGAGAATCAGAGACTCATGCATTGATCGGGAACTGAGATAAATCAGCTTTTTCGAAATGCCCGATTCAGGAGTTTCACCTACCGCCCTCCAATCGATACTTCTATACTATATGAACACTCACCCTTGACTCTATCGATGGAAGACTTTGGGGATAAATTTCTCACATCCAAGCTCTTCCATAACAGTCGGACTTTCTCGCCCTGGGCACGCGCAAGGCCACCAGGCACCGATCGGATGTGGCTAATGCCTGGGAATCGCCCATGAGGGCGCCATGAGCACGGTAGTGAGTTGGTCGAGCGCTTACGCTGGAGGTTATCGCAAGAGCATCTCAAAAACTGCATCAATTTGCATCGCCGGACGATAGGGGGGGCAAGCCTTCCTTGCAGGACTATAAGGAAAGACCGCGTGAGATTGTCAATTGAATGAGGGAAGACTTCTCTCCACGACCCAAGAGATGCTACGATCGTGGTGGAGGAGCGGCTCCAATTATTAGGGGATAAGAAGGGCACGAGAGTGAATTCTAAAAGCTCGTGGTGATTCGACTCTTGAACCAACGATGAGCGGTCAAGGAATATCTGATTTCAGACTGATAACCGATGACGATAGACCTCCGGCTTGCTAATACCCCTCCGGATTTTCTCAGTCGTGATCGAGAAACGCGACGAGGAGGAGCCCTGAGCGGCCGTGAGGAATCAGGACCTCAGCGTTCGGGATCGTCGGTCTATCGAACGCTCCAGCCTACGGATCGTTAATCGTCAGCAACGCTGCGGGGCGAAATCCTCCCCTTGATTTCGGCAAGGT